CTTCGGCTGACAGTGTTGGATAGTGGCAGATGTCTAGTACTAGGGGCAATGACACAGAGGCAGGGATAGAGGCATGAACCTTCAGGTATCTCGCCTAACTCTGCCTTGATTTTCCCCATCTGCTAGATGAAAAAAAAAATTTCTTTCTCTTTTCCACTATTTGTACAACCACATCACCTTCAACCCAGACCATGGTTCCACACTGCTACGTGCCATACACATGGGTAGTAAGAGGCAAATCACACTGAAGAGGTTCCCAGGCTACAGAAGAGATTTTGAGAGGAAGCAATGAGGAAACGCTACGTTCAAGGTAACTTAACACAGTGGTGGTAGCTGGGAATGACACAGGTCTCCAGAGTGCCAGCCCAGATCCCTCCAGATCAAGCTGCCTCTGAGAACTGTACACAAATAAATTTCATCTTGACCATGATGGGTGGTCAAGCAAGTTTTTTTGCTATTTAAATACATCATAAATATTGGCAACACAGTATTTGCTTTTAAAAAAATATTAAATACCTTCAGACCAGGTACATCTCATTACTTGGTACACCTCCCACAAAGTGCTATTTTGCCAAACAGATATTCTGTTGGAAATTCAGGATAAAACTCAAGAGTTTCAGAAGGTAGGTGTCCAATTCCAGACAAAGCAATCAGCATTCAATACATAATTCACAGCAGGGACAAAAAATCCTGAGCTTACGTGTGCTGCTATTTCCAGTATTTCATTTTCACAGTCTCTGCTGGAAGCCCTTTCTCCAGAGTCACAAAGTTTTCTTGTTTTTCAAAAAATGCAAACATTTATTTTATGGGCTGAAATTTGACTTTTTTTTTTTTCTTAAGGTCTTACTGCACTGATCTCTTAAGCAAGGATTTAAGCAGAACAGGTAAAATCTGGGAAAAATACCATTTAAGAGAGGAGCCCCATGACCATAGCATTCACCAGGCCTCTACACAGGGGTTCACACAATTTAGGACTAGCCCCTGTTCCCATCCATGAAAGTTATGCACCTAATGTCCTGTCTTTTACTAATGCCTCCTTTTACTAATGACAGACACAGTGGGTTCTCTGCCTCTGAACTTTTCAATGCGTTACTGCAATTTAGAAGGTGTGATATGTACACAGAAACACACTGCAGCTACACAAGAGGAGCTCTGTGCTTTACTCATCACACTAGCACTTCCAAGCTTTACCAAGCAGGAGGAAAATATTAATTAGATTTTTTTTCATAATGCATCTGCAGGTCTTCAAACAATACCCAAGGCAAGCTAAATCTCACATGACATTGCAGTCATGGTAATTTTGAGATCATCTTGGTCATCTTCTCCATTTCAATTCATTGTACCAGAGGGCTGGAACTCGTCATGACGGTGAAGGTCACACAGGTCCTTTCTAAAACTTCAGCTCAAGCTGAACCCTTTGAATACAGTCTCTCCTACACCACCTCACATGACAGAAAACATCCTCAGATGCTGTTGTGTTGAGGCTAAAGATGATGATTTAGCCTTGTAATTTTCCCTGCTTTTAGAGATGTGCAATTTTGAAAGGTAAAGCCTGCATTTTAATCACTTCTGACTGGTTCTGTGATTCAGAGAGACTTTCACTTGCAAGACATGGACTCAGCCTGGCTCTGAGGTTATAGTGATTGAAAGCTACCCACATGTTATTGATGGCCAATATGAAATAAACTATCAGTGGCTAAAAAACCTCTGCTGCAGGGGGCTCTCTCAACAACTGCCTCAAGATAGAGAGAAGAACTTTCCAAACACGAAGCCTGAGAGAATCTTTCACTTTGAGGTTTAGAGACACTGAGGTTGACTCCTGCTGGGATACCCAACTTGCAGAAGGATCCTCTCCCACCAACCCTGCTGCTATGTGAAGGAAAGGCCTTTTCTGCTCCATAAAGGATCCATGTTGAGAAAATACTCTTCAAACTCATCACTTCAGAGGAGAGGGCAACACAGCTCTGCAGTGCAGCAACATTCCACCTCCTCTGCCCAAGGCCTGGGAAGCAGTCATCAGCTACCTTTGCTTTCCAACTCAGTTGCCTTGAGTTAGGCAGGACCATCAGGTACAAGGAGGGCACTGCTGACCACAGGTGTCCAAATTCTCTCCCTGGTCATTTTTAGCTCATGGAAGTGTCCTTGTCACCTATCCAGGACACAAAAAACATTTTTAGAGTGACATACAGATAAGCAATGCAGGGATGGTGTAGAGATGCATACTCATCCATGTCCTCAACAGCAGACCTGCTGGCTAAGGGACATTGTCTGGGGTTGGCATTGGCCCACCCATTTTGACAAACATTGAGGACCTTCCAGACCTACTGCAGAGGGCACACATCCCTCTGTGTCAGAGACACTCCTGGTGCAGTGTGTCTCTTTGCAATCTTGAACTCATACCAAAGATCAATAGAGCTTCCCTCTGTGTGAATTTATGCCAATGGGCAAAGTATGTTAAATAAACTGCTTGTCATTACCCTGCTATCACTCCTACTCCACTGAGAGAGGACTATGTTACCATTTAGCTTATGTTGCTTTAAAACTGTCTTGAAGATAATATAAAAAAGGAACCTAACGATAAAATTTCTCTTATTCCAGAACAGGAATATCCCCAAGGGCAAGGTATTCCTACAGAATTATTATAATGCTTTAACTGCATAAGCACAACTGAAAATGTCTTCTCTGAAAACAAGTCGTAACTATATTTTCCTATCTGCAGCCATTAACCTGATAAATTTGGGAAGGTCAGCTAAGGTGTAATCCAATAAATGTGCTGATGTTCTGAGTAAGTACCTTACAATTTGCAGCCTAATCTATTATCCTACTATAAGACCATCAAATGACTCACCAGTTTTAATACTTAGTACAGATCAAACAAAGGAAAATATCAAAGCTTTACATTCTAGTTCCACCTTTCAAGGACTTGTTTGAGTACCCTTTAATTACAGCAGAAGATACATCCAACTCTGGCATTTTCTTTCTCTAACAGCTCAAGTTAGAAGTTGCTGTAGCTGTACTTTTCACAGGACATCATTATGTTAACCAATAAGTCCTGAAAAGCCTGATAAACTGAACAAAAGAAATTAGGATTTGATCTCAGAGATGGAGTTCAGCTTCTTCTGCCCACCGGACTGCACAGCGTGTAATGCACCTGGGAGATTCACCATCCTGGGTAAGGAGGGAAAAGTCTGCAGAGCCCCCACCTGAGCTGTGGGCAAAAAGCCATGGGAACGAGCATGTGCCCCAAGCAGCATATGTCATCTTGGAGGCTGACACCCAAACTTGGCCTATGACTTCAAATCTTCCAGAAACTCAAAGGCACCTACCTGCAGAAGTTTGCATCTGAGTGCTGTGATTTTTTTATTTATCTTTTTAAATGGTAAAGGTGCAAAATAAAAGTGAAAAAAACAACCTATTCACAGAACCCCAGATCCCAAAGGAAGAAGTATCAGGAGGCAGTTGTCGGCAATGTCAGCAAACTGCAAATGCTCAGTAAAGTGGGTACAGAAGTTACTACAAAGATATTGGAGCTGCCCAGGGGCATTGCACAAATCTCTTTCAGTTAAGTCTCGCAGTGTTTAGACACTATAAAGCATTTCCCAGTAACAGTGTGCATTTGTGTGTGTTTGGCCCACATGAACAAAATGAACGTGGGTTATTCAAAGCAGTGCCCGAGCAGAACTTGTCTCATTTATCACAACAACAAAAACTCACTGGGAAAAGCACTGAATGGTATCTGGTTTACATTGTTGCTCTTTTTGACTGACTAACCCAAATTAGACTGTTTTTCAAGCACAATTCTGTAATTTTATGCAATAACTGTGCACATGCTGCTAGAATGAAAGAAGAGTTTAATAGTGAAGTCCCTGCAGAAGGGATGGGAAACTCAGAGTCTCTGTGGCAGATGGACACTTCTAAAAGTGCCCAAATCTGATTTCACTTTGCTTTTGCTCAGTTCACAGACTTAAACATGTGCAGTTCTAAAGAGACTCTGATCACTACTTTAGTTCTGCTCCAAAAGTATCAGTTCTCAGCTACTTAAAAGAAATGCAGTAATGAAAAGAACGAAAAAAGCCACAAACCAAAGAGAAGGCTTATACGGGTGTGCACCCATCACTCACCTATCCCTTTGATACTTTTGACTTTAGGTGTTTTAGTAAGGTTAATACAGCATATATATAGCTGCATACATCCCTACAGACATGTAAGAAATGAGACCAGTCATGAGATTAGGAAGGAACGATGGCACACAACTGGGCACAAACATACCTGGAATGATTTTATAAGATTTTATGAGATCCCAAGAATTGCCCTTTTTTAAAGTGCCACCAGAGTGTCACCACTTCCTCTGATAGATAGATGACATCTCACCAGAACTTAAATAGCTCCACTCAAGCACTACCTAGGATGAGTGACAAAAATTAGCCGAGCCACTGACACCCCTGCAGTCCTCGTCTAGACACAGAAGAGAAGTGTGAATTCCTGTCTGCCTTGCTGGGCTACAGCCACCCTGACAGCTGAGCTATGGTCCAAGCCACTTCATCGCCACTGATTAGATGACAAAAAACAAAAGAAAACAACTTGAGACGCAAATATCTGGATCCTTCTGGCGGCATGACAGATAAAAGTTAACAAAATGGAAAAATGACAAGAAAATAAAAGCATAAAAGTACTTGTGAACTGAGCAGGTTTTAATTCACAAGCTATTGTTGGTTAGAAGTTGAGGAGAATGAAATGCCAATTTTGAAAGTATTTCTCTAACATCTCCGTGGCAATCTAACAATCGGGATCAGAGGCCCTTCGCTCAGAGGTGTGGCAGCTTTTGAGCCGGTGCCCCCTCAGAGCAGCTGTGCCCTTCTCCCCATTGACAGCCACATCTGGATGCTATCAGGAGGAACTGGCATGCCTGCTCACAACAAATACCAAGCAGTTAGCAAATTGACTCCAGAAGTCGATGCTGGCCCCTTTCCCACTCTCTGTTTATGCAACGTGCCACTAACCTGTTGAGTCCGAGGTTTGTATGGAGAGCTGCTCTCCAGGTCGGCCAGGATGCTGGTCAGAGAGTCAATTTCTGCATCTAGACTGGACCGCCTCTCTTCAAGCGTCTTGCCACCAGGATTCACCTTAAAGAAGAAAGAAAAGTTCCAGTTATTCAAACCACTTGGCCTGGTACGTGATTTCTTACTCATAAAGCTGCCACCATGCCCAACAATAACTCTCCAGTTTCAGGGACAAACAGGCTGAAATGCTATAGTTCCCTCCAGAACTAGCAGCAAGCCTCCATCTCACAGGGACTTATGCTGCTTTGGGGCTTTTCTTCATGTATTTCCCACAATGGGAAATGTGAATGAAATACACTGTGTTAAACTGACTTGGAGGATTAGAAATTCAGCAATTCGCTGCTGAGGTGAAGAGGCAGAACATCAAGAATACCCATCTGGGAAAACAGAGCTGGGGACAAGCTTGGAGAACCTGGATCCCAAGAGCATCTCCTCTGCCATGTCCTCATCTCAGGCAAAGCACAAACAGAAATGAACTGCAAGCCATAGTGGCCAGCCACCAGCCACATGCACCTATTCTTATTCTAAATTAATTCTTGGTAACTGTGCCTCTCTGATTCAACACTTCTTCACAAATTTCATCTGAAAAATGAGCCCCTTCAAGGAAGAGTGAAAAGGATCAATCCATTTCTAGGAGATTCAAGGTGAAGGGTGTGATTTGCAATAAGCAGTCAGAAAATAGCATAAATAAGGTCCTTGTGAAAAGGCTACTATGCAGGAAAGCCCAGAGAAAAATGCCAACATGCAGCCAGGACCCTTTCTAATTCAATGCATTTTGCTTTCTCTATGCTCAGCCCCACTTGTACCCAGGCTGGTAGGGATGCTCACTTGGAGGGGAAGAGACATGAATTTTCACCACCACCACCCACCTCAAAAAGTAAAACCCAGGTCTCAGCACCACAGGAGAACACGTGATCCCCAAGCCACTGTTCAATGGCTGCACTGCAAGCCCTGCTAGAATAAGTATTTTAAAAGAGGACTCATTCACATGCTTTGTTTTTGATCAACTAACCTAGTCCAAAACTTCTGGAAAGGACCTCTGTGCTGTACAGCCCAACCCAACACTGGTACATCCTGACAGGGCACAAAGGCAGGTACAGATTAGGAAACCCTCCTTAATGTTTTCAGTGCTTTGGAAATTAGGCAGCTCCATCAGGAATGTGAAATTTAAGAAAACCAGTTAAGGATCCCTACAGTGTTGGAAGTAGGTACCAGGAGCCAGCCCCATTGAGCCAGCCCACAATTAGGGCATGCAAAGAAACCAAAGTTCTTGAGTCAAGGGAAACATTACATTGAAAGTCTTTTCTCAACATGAGTTAATTTTCTTCTGTCTTTCCATTTTTTACTTATCTGCAAATCCCCCAGACAGAGTCTCTCCATGTACATGCAAGCACAGAGCTCAGTGAAGAGCTCATTCAGAGCTTGACGACTTCAACAATAAAAATATTAAAGAATTACCTAACAACTCACCTAATATCAACTGCAAAGCCTGTTCAGACCATACCAGCACCTCCCCACAGACAATCCAGTTCTGTTTGCCTTCACTCTCACCAAGTTATTTCAATTTTCCAAGCCAAAAATTTGCCTTTTCCTTTGGCTCACTGGCTGTTCCAGATAGTTTTTATTTAAATTTCATTTCAGGAGTATTTGATCATTACCTGTTTTACAGAACTCCCCAGTAATCAATCTGACACATAAGTGGCAAGTTGGTCAATGAGAGATAGGCTATGCAAAGTAGACAGGCTGTTAGTTGGCCAAACTTATACGTGCTGAGGCATTCATTAGTTCCTAATGATTATTAAATTTTATTGGATTACAATAAATTTGGCTTGACTAACAAGAAAATGGAAGCTCCAATGTGCTTTATGCAAGAACACACCATTTAAAGGCTGAAAGTCAGGTCAGAAACTACTTAGAAACTCAACTCTTCTTGCCTATTTTTATTACAGAGTCAAAGTCTTTCCATCCAAACTATTGTTCAAAAAAAAAAAGAAATATTTTTCACAGGAATTACCCCAGACCCCTACTCCTGGATAACTGTAGGCACCTGGATTTTCATAGTTCCAAAAGTACAATTTCCTTTCCACTCCATGGCTCTTGTTTGGTTTTTCTCCATCCTCCAGTAGTTGGCCTATAACTGCCACAGGCTTCCCAGACAGAAAAACTGTGATTGCTCCACTCCAGCACATTTTTAAGCTAAGCAGCCAAAAGTCAGCCTGGAAAGGAGAGGAGAGATGCAAAGGGCATCCAAGACCCCAGCACATGAAGTGATAAATCAAGGGAATGGCAGACCCAGGAATAAACCTGGAGTACACACAGGACCTTCTTGGCACTCTGACCCTGGAGAGAAGGGATGGTGGTAGATGAGAAGATCAGCCAATTTCATTTCTGCTTCTTAGCATTTCTGGGCCATATTATTCCCAGGTTCTCATTCCCCAGAACAATTATGCAATAGCTGACTAGCAAACACTGCAGAACAAGTTGTAAGGTTGTAAAAGTTAAATGTCCTTAGGAAACCTAGAAAAATAAAATAAAATAGAATGGAAACATCTCTATTGATTCAGGGCTCTGTAGAAGATTTACTTATTCAATTAAAACATAATCAACATAGATTAAAAGCCCAGTTCTACAAATGCTGGGGCACAACGCAGTACAAAGGTGCCAACGAATAACACTACCGATATGTGTCAGGGCCTAATGGGACAGGAATGGACTTTGAAGACATTTAAGAAATGGTAATCCGTGCAAAGACAGATTCCTGCTTGCTCTCTCTTCCCCATCTCCACAGATCTTGCATCTTCTCTCTCTCCACAGTGTTCCACATTCAGCTGAAGGATTTGGGGAAACAGGAGAAGCATTTGCAACACCAACTTCAGCAAGAGAGGGTTAAGTTATTTCTCTTCCCATGCTCTTTGTCATGACGCTGCTATAAAAGTTTTATGATATTGTTCTGGAACAAAACCCAAGCACCAGGTCCCAAGGCACAACAGGTTCACACAGACACAGCTCTGCTCCGAGGAACCCAGACTGGTTAAGCTCACAACCTCGCAGATACAAACACCGGAACCAGAAAGAACTGCTAATTCTATTTCTGTCTGGATTTATGGCATTGTTGCAGACATGTCGCTTGTGCACCCCCTCTTTCAGCCAGTAGAAGATGGAAAAATGGGTTTAAAAAGAAAAAGGATGCTATCTTTGGCTCAGTCAACGTGAGTTCGACAAAAAGCAAACATAAGCCAACCCAGTCCAACAAATTACTCACGCCAGAGACCATCCACTCACGTGAACTTCTGCAACGCCTACACTCCTATCCCCTGGCTCAGTCCCTGCTGTGAGTCAAAAGACAGAAAAACAGCAGAGAGCTTCACTGCTTGGCTTGTTTGTTCACCTCTGAATTCCTGGTGTGCAGCTCAGAGCAGCTGTGATGGTAATCTGCTCCTGAGCCCTGTCAACCGACTCTGCTCTGATGAAAATTTGCTTTACTTTTGCTAATCCTTCCACCCAACACCAGTCAGTGCCACAGGTCCCCCCACACCACCCCAAGGGACATTCATTACAGAACATGCAGTGCAGATGTCAACGCAGGGTCTCAAATTTTGCCTCACTATTCTAAAAGGGTTGTAAGACTATTCACCAAGCTAAAAGACATGAAAAGCACAATGATTTCCCTAGATGTCACCTCTTTCTACAAAGCCAGATCACCTATTCTTATCACATTTTGCAGCTTTCAGCAGAGAAACAAGAACACTTCTCATTTATCCAAGCCAGCTCCTTGCAGTGGGCTCAAAGAGAAGAATCTGGTTACCAGATGTCCTTCCTAGCTCCTGCTCCAAATTCCTTTCCCTACCCGGACCCAGACACCTCTCTTTTATTCTCTGTTTTCCCCTCTCTCTATGCCCTGTTTGCTGCCCTGCAGTGCTGTAGCTCAGGACAGGCATTAGCCCCTGGGACAAGAGATGCAACATGGGATGCCAGCTTGGCCTCTGAGCCTCTACAGTAAATCACGCTGATGCCTGGTGGTGTGGAGGTGTCAGAGAAACACGGAGGGTGACTTTGCAGCAGCGACCTGCTGACAAGACATGGACAGTTACAAGTAACTCCAGTGTCCCAGTGCGTATTTTCTACTAAGACAAGGCAATGGCCAAACTCCTGAATACTTTGAGACCATCAGGACTTTGCTCACCACGTTGCAATTTACCGGCATCCATATCTACCATGTCCCCATCCACCTCACCCCTGCTCCAGTCTCATCTAATGGAGGTTGAGCTGAGCATGTTTCCTGAGCATTGTGACCAGCTCATCCTCTGTGCCCTTGGAACACGAGCTGTCATTAGTGGGAAATGTAGTGCTGTTTTATCTGTACAGACACATCCAAGACAGCAGAGCTACAGCTAAACAAGCAACCTTCCTCGTAGCATCAGCCTGCTCCACATGCCGTGCTATCACAAGTCACTGATAACTTCATAACTCACAAGTGAAAGACTGGAGATGAACACCATGAAGGTGTCATGAAAGGTCATACCTTGACTCAAAACAAAGCTGGGGGGCTGCAGTACCTTCTGCTCCTGGTTCTTGGTTTTACTGGAAGCCCGAGGTGCTTGGGAGCTCTTGTTGAGCTACAACACGTCAACACTGTTTGCACTTACACATCCAAGAATGGGGAAAAGCAGGGAGCAGAAAAGCCTTCTGGATCAAAGGAAGGACTAAACTAGTGAAGGGATCAAGTGGAATTTAGAAAAATCAGAGGTTGTGAGCAGGTGTAATACATATGGACTTTTGCCCTGAAAGACTTCATTGTCCTTTCCTCCAGTAAAAGCCAATGAGCCACAGCTGATAAACTCAGTGACCACTGTCTGCTTCCACCAGGCTGCACCCACTGCAGGCACCTGTCATGCTCTGCAGGCTGTCTGAATCCTGGGGTAGGCACTGAGGTGGTGGAAAGAGCAAACAGAACAGACTCCAAACCAGGAGTGAGCCTCTCCTCATGCTCCATGGCCTTGGGCACTGGGCTTAGACAGAGTCACAGACTGAGCAAGAAGATTGGGGCTCTTTAACTTCCTATT